CCGCTGTCCAGTCATGCTCTACTTTCAACCATTCAACGTCTGATCGTTTCCTGGTCTCTGTCTGTACTTTCGTTTGTTCATTTGGACAGAATTCTCCAAGTTTAGAAGGGAGAAAATGAATCAAAGAGTAGGTAATTCACATGCACTATAACGTAGTAAAAGTTGTATGGGTAATTTGAGGTGTTTGCCATTCTTCTATTCTTCAATTGGAAGTACTCTTTGTAACTATGCAGAGTGAATTTATAGAAAATTTTCTAATTCTGTTATCTTTTTATTGGAAAATAACACTCATTCTGAAGCAGTTAAATGGCAAATTTTTTTCACTAACTTTTAGGTTGTTGAAATAAGACCAATCTTGTTGTTTTCTTTACCAATGAAAAACAGTGATGCAATCCCAACAGAATCAATTTAACATTTAAATAACAAAATTAAATATTTTGCAACTTTTCTGATTAGATGTCGTACTTAAGCATAAGCATAGTATCTCTAGTATATACAAGGTAAACAATTTTGTCAAGTACTTGCAGCCAGCATCTTAAATCTTTACTTTCCCTATGCATAAACCACGGCCGTTGTGTACCATATTTTATGTTGATTGACTGAGTGATTGATAGGTGAGTGTAGAATGGAATTAGAACATGTGTGTAGCATTGCTAGTGTCTAACAGCTGTTTCTTTGGACAGGATCATTTAAGCCCAATCAAGGGTGGCCAGTTCTAGATTCGAATCCTAACTCAAAATCAAATACATTTTTAAAAGTCGAAGCAACCAATAAGTTTAGAAAGCTAAACACACCCAGGTTAGCAGGATTCATTAGCAGACAACTGTTTAAGTGTTTACCTCACAGCCGGTCGCGACATAGGAAAGTGTTCGGGAGTCGGGAGTAGACGCGAAGGTCAGGACTAATAGAGAGAGTGAGAGAAAGTGGGAGTGATCCAGAGTCAAGGTCGCGAGTCCCCGGGGATGACCTCCGAGGTACAGGTTCTGCCGGAGGCTGGGGAGAAATAGAAAGTCATCCACCTGCAGACGTCTACCAGCATTTTGAGTTTCTAAACGTCCAGAGGAAAAGATGACTGGAAATTAATTATTGTGATGGCTCTTCAACGTTGATATTTGAAACTGATTGACGTTCTGATTGATATTTCTGTTCGTAACAGCAAAATCCTCTTTCATTTGAGTCTTCAAGAGATGAAGCGTGGTTAGGTTGGCAAAAATATTGGCCGACGGTTTAGATCGTTTGCTGCAAATCTGCAAGGCAAAGTAGAACTCATCGGAATAAGAACTGCACTTAAATTGAAGCTCCAAAAGTTTCGTATGGGTTTGGACCGCTTCCCCAAAAAGGTTTGTGTACCTGCTTGAAAATTTTCACAGGTGTAGACTATAAAAAAATCAAACGACGAGGTAATCTCCTGAAGACCAAGTTTGGAAAGTATAATTTTATCGTGGACGCAAATCAATATTATAAATATTTACGTAACACACGCTTAAAAATTTTCGTGGTATATGGTTGAAATCTTTATGATTTTGTCCGATACTCGTAGCCGAAGCTGTGTAGCAAATAGCAATTTATTCTACTTTTATATACACATTATTACCCTCCCAGCAAACCTAGGTACTCGTTAAACCTAATGTTGTTTAATAGAGTTAATTGAAAATCAAATCATGCGGCGGGGTTATTTAAAGCCTGGTAGACATATTATCGCGGTATATATCGAAAACTACTTTGCATGATTACTATAGAAGCATTACTGAGAAAATAGTTACCAACTATGTTATCCAACTTTGGATATGAATGAATGAATAAATGAATGGTTAATTTTCCATAAAAATGTTACATAAATATTTACAATTTCATCGATAATTAAAAATGTAACAAATAAATAAATAACACAAGTATATACAGTGAAAATTCTAAAAAATTACCTGCTTATAGAGTACGTTATCTATAAAACAACTAACAGTTAACATTACATTGTCAACAGAAATAAAGTTACGCTTGTGGAAAAATGATCACAGCGATTTTTCGTAAAGATAAATTAATAGATATAACCTTTTAAAACTGCAGCTTTAATTTGAACACAAAAAACCCCTTAGCGGGAAAGTCGACGTCAAAAGAAATCTTGTGATACCCTTTAACCAACACGAAACTGAAATTAGTGAAAGGGAAAGCAATATGTGGCCTTTTCCCCGATCCAAATTTTCGATTGGTATTCGATCGTTTTCGTGAATCTCAGTTGGCAACGAAATAACCACTTTCGACGTGAAATTATGGATCAATCTCCAAAAAATTTACGAATGTTCAAATCGATTTCATCGACTACTCGAAACACTGCTTCAATTTACACGGACAAATTCGACGATTGAGGATTAATGTAAAGGAAGCAGGAGGTGATTTTTTTATACTTAAAAACAGCTGATGAGTATTCGCCTGACTTGGGAGTTGTGTTGTACCTCTCTCTATTAATGTAAAATACTGTTTGCAAAGAACGAAGGCAGCTTATCTCTAGAGCAGTTTTAGGGAGCTGAAAGTTGACGGGTGGCGTCGTCCTGTAATCCAGCTACTAGGAGGTCACGAATTGTGGATATTTACAGGCATGCACTGTACTCTCTGGTGTGGATTAACGTCCGCACTAGTGAGTACTACGACTATCCGCAGTACTATCCTGATAATTAGACCAATTCGTAAATACCAAGGCAAAAATGTGGTTCGGATTCCACTATAAACTGCAGGTCCCTTAGTTGCCATTAGCTGTATGGGCTATTAATTAGCAGCTGTGTCTAAGGAATATCGGCCTTAGTCACTAACAAGACTACAAGATTGCGCCACTCATCCTACACTCATCTCCATTCATACTTGGCTTAAAATACCTACTTTGTATGGTCGCCATTTCATAGAACAGTTGACAAAAGAAGGAAGCACAGATTTTCAATCGTTTTGTCGAGTCAATATGGTTATGTCACTGAAAGCTTCAATAATCCTAGGAACAAAACTTTCCTGATCGAATTTAATGGATTGATGCGTGTTTTTATAATCAGCCCATCCAAAACCAGATTTTCCCGTCCAGTAAGAGTTTTTAACCCTATAAGGAGAGCAACAGTAAAACACAGGCTGTTGGACAGGCTTGCGACACTTTGCACGTTGCCTTGGCGCAGTAGCGTTCCGTTCACTCATTATAGTAGAAGTAGACTACAGACTTTATATCCATTGTGTTAGCCACACTGTGCTATACAACTGGGGCAGTAGAAACACTATTGTCCAGTAGTCGTGTTAAAGTGGTGAGTATTGCGTGGCGCACATTATCTTCTTTGTCACACCATTTAAATGAATCTAATAGTTGACTGAAACTAAAGTAGTTGTTGCATTTTTGTCTAGTCTATTGGCAAAGCTGATCCAGACGTAGAGCGGGTTCTTCGTTTTCCTTGGGGGCCGTGTTCATACAACTGATAACCAATGGATTTAGCCGTGACCTTCTACTTTTAACGAGAAATGATGTGTAAAATAGTTCCTGGATATGTCTACCACCTTGATATGTAAAGATAAAAGATGGATACAGTGGCTATACACAAAACCCCTTTAAACTAGATTTAAACACAAACATTGTCTAAGGGGGGTTTTACTATCAAGAACTTCAAGAGATCTTCATTATGGAGACAGTTCTCCGTACAGAGACCAAGATTTTCAAAATTGGAATTACAAGCCGGCTCGAAACACCGAGTAACTGCATTTTGACGAAGTTAAAAACATTGTTTTTGGCGGGACTTAAACCCGCAATTTCTGGCCAAGTGGAAGACTTGCCGTGCCCTACCCTTTATCGAAAACAAACTAAAATGGAGAAAAACTTAACGTTCAATTTTATTTCACACGCTCCGATCTACGTAATTGTGTTATCAACTTAATTTTACATCAAGCTTAACTTTACATCAGTTTGAAAGCGTAAACGGTTTCCCAGTAATTATAGAATGTTATGCGGAGTCAACATAAGTTCATTTTACAAAAGTTTTGCACCCGCATGAATAATGGGTTGTTATCATATGACAAGTTCAAGCTCGCTGTTTGGAACAAACGCTTGTGAGTTTGTTGAATAATGAGCTACTTTAAGCCAGATGACGCCCCCTTGATTGAGAAATTATTGTTAACAAAGATCTGATTCGCTTTAAACACATTTTTGCAATAGTTGCAATTAAATATAAAATTAGTTTTCCAAATATATTTCCTTTATTTTCTTACTATACAAACAGATTCCAACAACAAATAATTTTGTTGGGTTAAAAGTTTTATCTAATTTAAGAGCGCATAAAAAGGATGCGCAATGTTTCTGCCAAATTACACAATAGCTTAGGGCTGAATTGTTTTCAAAAACATACAAAAACACATTGTTTTCAAAGGGACATTTTAATATTAATTAAAAGCTAACCGATCAAATAAAATAAAGGATTTTTACTACTACTTTCTTTTTATTTTGAGACTTAATATAAAACTGGGAATAACTCATGATTTCAAACATTTTTAAAATATAAACCATTCCCATCAGAGATATAATGATTGATGAAACAATTTATGTATTACAAACAAAATATAGTTTTAAAACGAGTACACGTAGATGTAATCAATCCCATCTGGTGCGCGGTTTTGTTCCTAAAGGCACTCCCGAGTCCCGAAAGAATATTCACTGCCAGGCTCTGCTCCGAAATACTCAGCCTTTCGGAGCAAAGCCGAATCTAACCTTCACTTAACGATTTAACACATTCAGAATAACTTGTTTAAAATGTATAATTTGAACTTTTAACATCTGAAAGACGAAACTTTAACCAAAATAGTACGATGATTCATATAACTTTCTTAACAACAGTAAACATTAACCAAACGTAAAACCCCTGCCTGGAGGTATGTTTATCCGTGGATCTTGGTAAACAAGCGACTTTGTATGTTGGGTAAGAAGGGTAAGTTGGGTAAATTGGAGGGTAGATTTCGCAAAAAGGAGGGTAAATTTCACAAGTTACCTTAGTGAAAGGGGGCGTGTCGCCCGGCGCTGGCGTTCGAAATGACCCGTATCTGCGGACAAAACACACATTGTAATGTAAATAATAGCACTTTCCATTAGGTGTAAGTTATATGTCATTATCAGAGATATACTGTGCGATAAAATATGAAAGGGCGCGGAAAAATGTTGATAATTCAATATAGTCTATTTCAAAACTGTTTCAATACATTAACGATTTGTCATTGTGTCTGGAGATCTAACAGTGAATCGATCTTACTAATGATCCTTATTCTTTCATGTAGTTATATTGTGCAATATTGATATAGTTTTTGCAATTTTAAATGGGTTTTTATGTTGAGCTGAGTCTTAAACTATGTGACACTTAATGCGTGCTGTCATACAGCACGCATGTCATACTGATTTATTTGTAGAAGTAGGTGGTATAAATAGTGAATACTGTAGCACAAATGTTAGGCAAAACCTCATTACATACCCCACCGAGAATATAGCTGTATTTTCGTCTTCTACCATTGGGTTTTATTCATAAATACGTATACAGGGTGTCCCGGAACTCTCTACCAATATTTTAGGGCATTGATCCTGGGTAAGAAACGTACCTAAATATCATATTTAAATTGTCCGGAAATCCTTAGTTACTCACACAGCCGACATTTTGTTTTTTTCAGTTATTATTTTTTTCTAAAGAATGGTTAAACATACGAAATTGAAACTTTGCACAAACATTTATGACAACTAGACAAAATTACAAAAAAATTATGAAGATTTTTAAAATTCATAAAACAAAATGGCGGCCATTTTAAATTTTCTTTCTTAAATAACTCAAAAACCATTGATTTAAAAAAATTATAAATGGCCGCCATTTTATTATATGAATTTGAAAAATGGTGATAATTTTTTGGTAGCTTTGTCTAGTTGTTATAAATGTTTGTGCAAAGTTTCCATTTCGTATGTTTAACCATTCTTTAGAAAAAAAAATAATAACTGAAAAAACAAAATGGCGGCTGTGTGAGTAACTAAGGACTTCCGGACAGTTTAAATATGATATTTAGTTATGTTTCTTACCCAGGAGCAATGCCCTAAAATATTGGTAGAGAGTTCCGGGACACCCTGTATGTTATTTATTTATGATTACTTAGGGTTTACTCTAACTTGGGATGAAAGAGGTTTACTGGTCCTTTTAGTATTTGGTTATTTTATTTACTAGGCGGCTGACTGAGATACTTTTTTGATGCCAGCCCGACGTTCAGTGTGGCAAAACCACACCCGATTGGGATTACTTATTGTAGGCCTAATCGATCAAAAACACACAAATTTAAATTGCTAATGCAACCTATGCTAAGAACACACACAATGTTCATGTCATCTCGAAACCATTTTGACGAAATATAATAAAATGATTTAAGTATCTCTTCCTCTAGAGCGCAAAACAATTCTTGTATCTTGGACTACAAGAATCTAGGCAAAGAAGTACAAAAAAAAAATGGCCTAACGTTATTTGATGTTCAATCTCGATCTTTAAGAGATAGCCGTATTGATGCACTGGCGGAGTGGGTTTATTATATTATATATCTTGGCTACCGGGTGCGACCGAAGAAGACACCTTATGGTTGAAAAGGGTAGAAATAGTTCTATCACCAAGATATACGAGAATCGCTTTGCTGTAAAGAGCTTCACAACAACGATCGTTGGAATTTAGTCGGTATCGGTTTCAAAATAAGACCAACATCGCGGGGCCACGGCAGCTACAGAGTAGACTGGAGACTGGATACTGGAGCAGCCTGTATAAAAGTGGAAGTGGTCAAACAAGTGTACTAACTGACCTATACCACTTGCAGGCCGCTCTCCTTCTGACAAGACGGGGCTGTACTTTCATTTGGCCGGGAAAGATCGACCGAGTCTCAGTTTGGAATACATTTATCATAATTCCCGACCAGGATGGGGACACTACTATGAATGAAGGATGCATTGTGTAGCTCTCTTATGGGGTCCAAAATTAAAAACTCGAAGCTCGTTGACAGCTGGGCTAAATTTTTAACCATCAAAGAACTGACTTTACTTAGACAGTGTTCGTTCCTTGAGACTAATTGAAAAGTAAAGCTTAAGTCGCACGATTCTTATCCAGCATGGTGTGTGCTTTTAATCTAAAATGACAAGTTTCCTTTGTTTAAAGTCGATTGTTGGTTATGTTGAGCTTAAGTTTAAAGAACTTTAGTAGACAGTGTCCTTCAATAAGATGACCTAATAGTGTACCAAGTGATGTAGGAAGATTTCTAACTAATCTGTCAGCCTTCAGGGCATGAAAAGTCGTAAAAAACTTTCATTTTAGTAATCAGTGATGAAAAGTGTACACAGTAATCCTTCTAAACAGCATGATAAATATTATTCTCTAATATGAACTATTTTTCCTATCAGCACCCATAGAAGGTTTTCTTTTAAGAGAGAAACTCACAATGGGAACCTTCATTTCTACAATAGTGTGAAGAGGATCAAGCGAAAATTTCAAGGCAGAGCGCAAAGTGGTCGCAGTACTTAGAAGTTTACTAAATTAATCATTGAGGCTTCAGATTGTTTATACCGTTCATGGCCATCATTATAGTCGGTATCTGCTGATTTTATACGCTTATGTTCACATTTCCTTAGAAGTTAAAGTAATATTTATTGTTGCTTAGTGCAGAGGAAATTTCTTCGTATGCCTTTAGATGCTTACGAATCCATAACGTTAACTTTAACACAGTTTAAAGATTCTTTAATCTATCACCCAACATTATGAATCAGCTTGATGATCCAAGGAGTCTAAAATAAAATGTTTGCAGTAGAAACTCAAGGGAAGAATACCAGTTTAGGCCTACAAGCTTGCACTTTCTCCCAGCAACTATGAACGTTGATTTAAACAAACGTAATGTATTTGCCTTTCTCCTTTAGTATCCACGACGAAAGGACTTTAATGGAAGTAAGAGTGAGGCGTGGAGATGGAGATACCGAATCACAACATTGCTTGTTTGCTTGTTTAATGTAAATCAGCAATCTCGTGCACGCTTAGCTGTAGCCTAATCTGATGTGAACACCGAACATAGCCAATCATGAGCGTTTACTGTAAGATTTCTTCCAAATCCTCAGTGGATTTGGACAAAAGAAAGATATGATTCGCACCTCTACTTTTCTAAACTTCAGTTGTAGATTGCTTAAAATGCTAATTTCTTCTACGAACACACGCAGAAATAAATGTAGGCTGTACAAATTCAAAATTTCCTATGTGTCGATAGCATTTTAAGATATCCCTAAAATATATAGTGTAATAGCATAATAACCGACATATGAAAATTTAGAACTTCCATTTATCACACATCATTAGAGTCTTAGATCAATAATAAGCCTTTGGATCCCAGCTATAACTCAAACGCCAGCTTATGTGCTTTTACGTAGCATCAAGGACCTCATTCTCGTTTGAGCGGCTGGCATGAACTAGACTCCAGACGGTGATACTAAATTTAAGGATTGGTTTGAAATGGGTCGTTATGTGTAGGAGTAATACACATTCGTGTCCGACAACGCACAACATAACTGGGTGTGGGTGAAAGGGCCTATAAAGAAAACGGGCAGAGTTCTCAAAAGGAAAACTCTGCTGGAAGTGAACCCCGTGTTTGGAAAACTCTCGAACCAAGAAAACTTTGAGAATACGGGTGACACTTCTCTGCCGATTAGTGACGTTGGCATGCAGAAATCAGGCTGCCATTGTGCTATATTATTGAAGCTATCTGAAAAAAATGTTTTTACGTTAGACAGTAACCAGACAATGGTTTGGACCGTCTCCTAAAAAAAAAAAAAAAATGGTAAAGGCGTGAAATCGTATGTACAAACAAAATAAACTACTGTATTGATTATATTTCACATAAAAAGTAATCCACATTTTTTATCCTGCTTTAAAAAATTTGCCAGATACGTTACCAAAGATTAGCTAAGACAGTAAGTTGTTGAATTAGTGTTCACCGGTAAGCACATTCTTGACTCAAGACCCACAGAGAAAATCCCAACACAATATGTGTCCAATGTAAGATGATTCTTACTCGGCACGTGCCCGCGCGTGGGCGTACGTACACCACAACAGCCTCATTGACCTTTCTTCATCTTTCTCCTGCGATTCTTACTTATCAACGCCGGAGTAGAAAGCGAACATTCCGGTCACCATTTCTTCTAATGGCGTTTTAAACTTCTCTCTGTGATTGTGCGTGCCACTAATGATTGAGTTTATTGCCACACACCGTGAAAGGCATTTTACGCGTGCTTTCTTTCAGTCAATTGTGCCATCGCGTTATAATAAATTAAGGTGATGTTCTTTGATATATTGGATGTGGCTGAGGCTTTCATATTGCGGTCTATATTTGTGGTTGGAATGGAATAGATTTTTAGACGCCGACATGCAAAGTCGGTTATTTTATTGCAAAAATGAGTGAGAATGAGTACTGAATGAATGGGATGAGGGATGTGTTACAGCTATTAGTTATATATCTAGGATCGTTTTTTAGATTTCAATGATCAAAGGTAGTGTAGTCTAATTTAGAACCGTCAACAGATTCTGGATTTCTCAGATCCTTATATGTAACCTGTTCGTTAATAGGTGAGTACCATATTCACTTAGATTCTCTGATGTTTTCACAAGATATATATTACAATTGCAAAGACATCTTACCAAAAACATCTTAGGCTTTGATGGAAGGGGTACTCAGAAAGTGTTGTTCTTTTGAGGAAAATCCTGTATGATACTACAGTACTACCTATGACTGAGATCGGGACGCCACCTAGCGTATTTTGGCTGCATCCAAACTGATTCGCGTTCAGAAGATAGGGTTGCATCGTAGTCCCAAAGATGGATGACTGTAACTACAGAAGAGTAGACACAATCTGTATTATCATTCATCTTTGATGTACAGAAGATCACTTTAATGTCTCATCAAACTATGCTGTAACGCATCCAAAAGGTTGGCCACCACCGGGTCAACTACTGGTTCACCTCACGAAGGTCAAGATTCCGTTTTCTGGACCTATAACGTTTCAAAGCACTCTGAACCCTGTGACTCCGGTAATTGCTCTGATTGAGATACCGACGAAGGAGTTGTGGCAACCGCGACTGATCCGAAGGTCCCTTGGTCAATGATCGGATGCTTAGGCAACAGTGTCTCCGTCGCTGGGTGTCAGAATTGGAGCAGAAGTGACTTAGAAATGTGACGCTTCATTCGTCGATTTAAGATTGATTTGACTACCCTGTCCTGTAAAATTTCAGGCAGGACTGTAGTTGACAGTTTAGTTGAGTGTCATGGTACGATTCTACGAAGGAATACAGTATTACATTATGTACAGGGTGTTTCCAAATTATTGTATTATAACTTAAGAACAGTATGGTACGGTAGTCCTATTAAAATGCGTAACTGAATGTAGAACAATTATGATAGCTCGGTTGTTTGTAAGCCGGATTTGAACAAAAAAGTCTCATTTGATTTAGAGTCAAATTCTCTTATCTTTATGATCATAAAAACAATTTACGGTTTTCATGAAATTTATAATTACAGATTTTAAATGGCCGCCATATTGAAACGGTTTGAGGTATTGGAACGAAGTTCTTTAAGCTCTTCTAAATCACAAATCTTTACTAATTTTGAGATTTTTATCTTTAAAAATGCCCAAGATATAAAATAGTTAAAAAATCACAAACAGACCGATGGACAAAAATGTAGGCATTTTAGACCCATATGGTATTTTATGTTTGTCTTAGCCCAAAGAACAAGTCCACAAAATATGTTCAGACAATTTGAAAAAAAAACCCGGATATACAACAAATGCAAAATGTCTTTATTTAAATTCAAACATCTGTAAACTTTTTCTCCTTTTTTGTGTACTATCGGGAAAATTATTTAAACTAAATCGCCCAATACAGAATTATAAATTTGCAAACATTATAAACGCAAATTGGTTCAGAATTATACTTAATTACTGACTCTTGATGTCAGATTAGCATTTAACGTACAGAAATTTGAATGTCCCTCCGCCATTTGCTAAGTGAATTTTTGCCTAAAGAATTATAAAATATTCAAATTGAGCCAATAACTTACAAGGAATAATGTAAATTCTCCATTCTACGTGGAACAGGAAAACATAATCTGTATTGGTATTTAATTTATCAAATCTTACATGATTAACCTATGCTCTCCACCTTCCAATAAGATAAATCCTCACTTATCTGGAATAATACATAAACTAAGTGAATATAAGCCAGGATTGAGCGCAGCGCTTAGTAGTAAACTGTTCGTAAAATAATTAAAGATTTATTAAGTCGTTTAAGTCATTAAGTAGTTCATTAAGTGGGGTAGTTTTGAAAAAAAAAAATTGTTTTTGATAAAATGAATTTGGCATATTTATAAATTCCGATTTATTAATTCTAAGTTATGATGTATACTTCAACGCTTTAGTTCAAGTATGGCAGCAATTTAAATAGAAACAAAACGAAAATATCGTGCCAAGAGTTACGTACAATTATTAACTTTGGACATATCCATCAACATTTGTATGATTTGTCATAGGTTTTAAAAGGGAATGATCTACAAACAACCATGGAATTTTTATATATCAATTTAATCTTTTGTACGATTTTACTAGCCCATCATCCAATAAAAAAATAAATTAATTCCTTAATCGATCAATATGCAAATTGTTTAAGCATGTTTTGATAAAGCGATTTCGTCAAAACATTTGGCATTTTTATCTACATACCCTGCAAAAACGTACCCTTTTAGTTAAAAACAGACAACTATACTTAATTCACAATTGAAAATTGCGTATTGACGAGCCTGGATGAATTTACGTTTTTTGATTAAAAACTGAAAATAACATCAATAAATTTAAAAAGATGTTAAAAAATTGTCTTTTTCACAAACCACTATACTCGTTTGAGGGGTTTCAAAACTCTTAGTCATAGTCGTAGTATTAAATTTTTGATTTGACAATATTATCATGTACTATGTGTGCATATTGTGAATAAAGATGATTTTACTCTGACTTTGACTTTTGGAGACAGATTTTGCACACAAAGCTTGTTTATTTTGTACCAGTACCCATCAAATTGTGCGGCAGTGGTTTAAGTTTAGGGAAGATCTAGACACGATCTTTTAACCAAGCAAAAGTAAATATTTTGATCGCAAATGGTGAGCAAGGGCTACAACAAATGAAACATTACTTTGAGATTTAGAAACTAAAAACGAATATGTACTTTTGTTTCTGATAGACAGCTAAACTATTTTCAAAGTAATAAAATATTAATCTCTTCTTTAAAAATTAATGGAATGCATTTCCAGGGATCCGGTCATGGTCTAGACCTGTGTTACGCTTGTGGTCTCGGTTCAGTCCTCTCCAGACAGTCGACCTTCAAGATGTTTTGGTCCTTTTACAAAACCAGCTGTTCTCAATCCAGTACTACCCTTCCCATAGAACAATCAGGTTTTGACTCTTCAGAACAATTACCATCTAAGTAAACAATTCTTAAATTGTAAGATCAACGATACGTTTAAACGTTTAACGTACTGGATCTGTTGAGATTTTTCAAATGGTTGGTATCATTGATTTTATATACCACGAAGATAGTACGTAAATTTCACTTTTGTGGTGAAGAATAATGATTTTTGTGAATACAAACTATTATGCTTACCAGTCTTGGTTGCGATGTGTTTGATTCTTTTCGGACTAATAGCTTCTCATTCTCTTTACTCCTCCTCCTAAAAAAAAAAACGGGTGATATTAAAATAACAGTAAAATTCATCAGTTATAAATTCATTAATTTTATAATATAACGGGTCGCGTACTAGCCAATCACAGATATGTTTATGCAATGTACAATTTCATGACCCGGCGATTAAAAATCCGCCTTAAGTGGGTTCATATATTGCATATTATACAAAACAAATAAATTTAGGTATCTCAGGCAAGGTAAAGTTTTTTTCATATTGTAAATCTTTCCTCATTGAAGAAAAATGATCGTTGATTATTATATTTAATTTAAATTTATATTTGCTATATACTGTCCTATAAGTGTAGAACTATTGTCGAAATGTTGGTAAACAAGTTTTGTAAAATACATGCCAAATTACTTTATTCAACACAATTAATAATTTATGATAATTTTTTGGAGGATTAAAATAGTTCATTCATAATAGTACAGTATTCATACAAAATATTGTGAATGATCATATAAAAAAAAAAAAAAAAAAAAAAACTGGTTGTGGTTGGTTCTTGGTTGTGTTGCTAGCCTAGTGGTTAGCGTCTCGGACTACGGTGCGGGAGGTACGGGTTCAATCCCCGGCGCATCCACTAAACATTTATTCTCTCGTGACTCTCTCGTGAAATGCCACTGGCGTTGAAAAAAAAACATGTTAACCCTAGCCACACATTTTTAACGATAGCAACTTTTCGACATGTTTCAACTCTCCTCACCAAACGTTAAAAAAACCCCTACAAGGAAAGTTGTATGTACTTTTGGTATTTTCAATTTACATAGTCACATAGTCAGTGTTAATTAGCATAAAACAAAACGAACACATAAGAATACAACGAGAAGTACCTATTTAATAAATATCGTTGTAACCGGTTTAACGTTTGACCACAGTTACTTAACCCCGGTTGTGGTCGTTTTGGGGTTATTTAAATTACACGTCCGAAACCCGAGAAAGATAAAACGAATAAACCACAATTTGAGGATTACAGTCATAACGCAACCAGATTTTGAAATTGACAGATAAATGCATAGATTAGTATTTTCGTGGTTATCTATAATCATATTACAGGTAAACCAAAACCACAGAATATATAATTTGCGGTTTTATTAGGTTTATTATGTGTTGCTCTCAAACTCTTCATAAATTCTAGTATAAAGAGTTTTTAAAATAACTTTGTTTATTATAATATGTATACTTTGTATATCTATGATGTTTAATACATTACTACTGTATTTAATCCTCTTTTTATCAATAAATATAACAAAGATTATTTAGTTGTATAAACTTTAGATTTATTAATCGTTGAATTTCGGCCCTGCAAATATTCTTCTTATTTTCTTCATAATATAAAGCCTGTTTAGTTTGTTTTATTTCCGGGTTTATACGAGTGTGCTTATGTCAAATTCACATTTTTTTATATTTTATAAATAAATGGTTTTCTTTGGTTAAAGTAGTTTGGAAGTTGCCAAAATATTAAGAAATAAATAATGATAATTAAAATTCACTCTACAAAGAACCGAATAAAAATACCTAAAAACTGTCTTCGACTGATCCAAAAGAATGTTACATCTGTAAGAGCGTAAAGTCTAGGGGCATTGAAAAAATACGTTGAATATTAGTTTAGCTTTTAGACTAGTTACAACTATCGATCTCTAGCTGTAGTAATAATAGAGATCGATGGTTACAACTAGCCACCTTCTATGTCACAATCGTGTAGAACCTCACTAACAAAAACTAAAGATAAACTCAAACCATCTAACTATTTGGTTGAAAAGAAAATGCGCAGTTAACTACTGGGCATTGTTAAGGATGATGGGAACTGCAATTGTATCACGATGAGATAAGTTATTTAAGGATGTGACCGTGTACACAGGATGTAAGCATTGAGAACAAGGAGTAATTATATAATAGGCTTGGGAAGGTCCACAGATCGAGCCCTGAGATTCACCAATATGAAGACGAATCTGACTGGGAATTAGAAGAAAGGTGCCAAGGCGACAAAAAAGTTCGTCTTCGTGCAAAGTCATGTCCTTTGTAGCTTCTGGCCCAGCGACGGATATAATTAGGATTTTATGGAAAAAAAGGTTTCCGTTAATTAATTTTGGTAAATAGTTATGTGTGGTTCTCTTTCAGGATAATTTCTTCGGGTCTGATGACTTAATATTTGAAATGAATCAGCAATCTTAATTCACTTTCAGGAACTTTTTTCACTTCTTCAATTTTCAGAGTAACTCTTTAATTTTTTTTTGACTTTTCACACAAGTCCTAGACCTTATGTAGCTTTTAATTCACATATTTTTCGCCTGTTGTACTTTTTAGAACTTTTAGACTCATGAGATCCTGAGAGTTTAAAGAAATGTAAAGTACACATGGATATCTTTAATTGAGACGTATGCAGTTTACTTTCGTTAAATATGTTTTGAAACAAATAACAGGTAAAGTTTATGAGCCTAGGTTGTCAACAAACATAGATCAATAAACATTTTTATTGTAATAAATTACCATTCCTCTAACCGCTAATTAAATAAAAATAATATCATAATAATGATGACTTACGAAATGCATCACCTCTTGCACTTTGACAGCTTTGTAGTATGAAAATATTGAAAAAAATTATCTCGGCTAAGAGAATCTAAACGTTAATGATAGAAAAACGCAAGTAATTAAGAGGGTTTAACAATTATAGGTCCTTGAATAATCGAATGATGATAAATAGATGTTGTTGATTAAATTGATCTTATAAACTCGATTGGAGCGTTAAGGCTCATTTAAATGAATCTTAGATGACTGCGTAAAAATTGCCATGAATTTAAACAAGAAGTGTTTTTTGTCTGTTTAAATAAAATATAGTGCTGTATAGTTATACATCTTCTAATATATAAAATTCTCGTGTCACAGTGTTTGTCTGCAAACTCCTCCGGAACGACTTCACCGATCGTTATGAAATTTGGTGTGTAAATTCTGTAGGTATGCGAATCGGACGTAAACTATTTCCCGTTTCTAAATTCTTAAAAGGGCTCCGCCCCAGTGGCTCTGGAGTTTCCCATGTTAACCTTATGAGAAATGGAATTAATGAATCTTAACAGCTGTTTCAATTAAACAAGTTGGTTCTGTTCTATGATGTTCAATAGCATTAAAGTTACAAGGATTACCAACAGGGTGCAGCACTATTATTTCTTTTACATTTATGACAACAGCTAATTTGCAACCAAAAGGTGAGTGAGCGTAGCGAACGAACTTCAACCTGGAGGCGAGTGAGCGTAGCGAACGAGCTAACCTGGAGGCGAGTTAGCGTAGCGAACGAGCCCCAACCTAAAGGCAAGTGAGCGCAGCGAACGAGCTCCAACCCAAAGGTGAGTGAGCGTAGCGAACGAACTTCAACCAGGACGTGATTGAGCGATGCGAACGAGATCATCTTGAATATTAAACGTAACGGTACTTTCTTTCCATCGGTCTGTCTTAGGGGAAACCTATAACTTAGGCGATACGAAGTTCGCCGGGTCAGCTAGTAAACTTATAAAATCACGAGGTGTTCAGAAAAATTAAAGATTATCTATACACATATTTCTCAGAAGAATAAAAGAGAGAGAATAAAAAAACATCAAAAATACCAAATTCGTTTTGGGGGTTATTTATACGATATGCATTGTTGAGTTAAAATATCCACAATTACACGTATTTAAACGGCTAATTTCAAGGGTGGTGAAAATTTTATCAGTTTATAAAAATTCCTAAATAAATCTCATAAATATTTCTCAATAATTGAATATTTTCAGGGCTACAAACAAGTGTACTACATTAAATGCTTAAACAAGATTCAATATTTGATTACAAACAAATGTGGAAGCTAATAACGCGAGCTACCGAGCCAGATAGGGCACGGAAATTAGGGGAAGGTTTACTTAGAGATAAAGACTCATGTTAAGGCATAATGAGAGGCATTAAACATGTTGAGGCATAATGAGACACATTTGTAGTGATTTTGGCAACATTTAATTGATGTAAGCTTAAATGTTAAGTCTTTGATATCCGTCCTAATGCGTCTATTTTTGAATTAATTTTTGACATTATTTAGATTAAAATAAGACTTAAATATTGATGTAAATTTAATTCTTTATGACTGTATACGTGCTTTTTGTCAACGCAACATAGAACACCAACACATTGAGCTTGTCGTTTTAGTGAAATTATTTCACAAAATATTGCACACTTAGACCTATACATCATGAATTTATATTTGCAATTGAGCCTAGGTGTTGAAAAACAACTATGAACAGTTTACTATAATTGATTTTAGGTTATAGAAATGTATTAGCCAAACCATCTTCAAACTCTACACGATTAAGGTCTTGCTAAAACTCTTCTTAACCCAAAAATGTTTGCTCTTCAATATCCAATTCATTAAAAAGATCTGCATAGCTGAGTAGAAGAAAGTAGAGTTTACAATGAATGGTTAGAAGTCAGAAAGTGTCTTCAAAGGAATTGGCTGCTCCAGATCGACGCAAAGACAGAAACGAATGTCATAGTGACCTACATGTAGTTTCCACTATTCCACTCAACATCTGTTATGTCCATAGCTCACTTGGTCATTGCCAATTTGCGGTCTTGTTTCAATGAGCTAATTTAGCTCGCCAATCCCACTCTATTTAGTTCATGCCAATCACAACTTGTTTGATTGGGTTTGTCGGAATTGATTTGCGGTTTGGATAATGTGAACGATAACTTTTTTTTAAATAGTTGATTAATTAGTATTGCAAGCCTAATAGGTATTTTAAATAGTAGAAAATTAGCTATTGGGGATTCAGGGGATAATAAGTTTTGATTTGTGTTAGTAATGTGATATAAACATCTAAAAATAATTTTAAAATAATATATTTACAACGAGAATGATAAAAATTTAGTATGAGAATGAGTATGGTTCCATTTTATTCCTGACGGATTTTAGTTGCCAGGGTCCAGCATTAAATATAACAATTTGTAAACCTTATAACTTTAGAATATAT